GGAAATTCTCTCTCGTAGGAATCTACCAGAAATAATAAATGTCGAAGAAATGTTGGAGAACAGGCTATAGGAACTATCCGTGCCTTTTGAGCCTTCACTGAATTTCCCTGAAGTTGTGTACAATTCAAATGATTTCAGTTGCTTGAGAGACGGACCTGGAAAGCTGATAAGGACATTTACAGAACCTACGGCATCTGTTGCAGAAGGTCAAAGTTTGACTGAGGCTATCCAAGGAGAAGAGAGCACATTTACTGTGATTACTGAAAAGATATCAAGGGCCAAATTGTTTATGGCGAAATCGATCATGTCAATGATGCGATGATTTCCGTCAATGCAAGAGGGACTTTGATAGCCAGCGTCACAGACTCAAAGAATGGCCGATATCAAGTAGAGTACACAAGTGAGACGACAGGTGACTTTAAAATATCTGTTACAGTACAAGGTGAAGCCATCAAGGACAGTCCGTTTACTTTAAGGGTGAGAAAGACAGAACCAGAGACATTTTATCAGGTATCATTTTTTATGTTCTGTAAACTTTCAGGCTGTTGTAATTGAAAGAACGGAGTCTACTTGAATATGATAATTTGATAAAACCCAAATTATCATATTTTGGTTTGAGTTAATGTTGTTAAACCCAAACCAAAGTAAGCACAACGGCCCGACACAGTAAAGGAACAGCGCGTGGAACTAATCAGTTCTTGAAGTAAAAAACAAGCAAATTATCCCAGGAGCAGGAAACGTGACAGACCAAATTACTTAGCACAACTTTTCTAAACCAATCATAGAGAGAGAATAAGAAACACTGATACAATTCTGAGTTACCATCGATACATAAGTGAAAATGGTATGATTATTAACATTTTAAATCAAATTAATATTTAGACTCAAACTAAAGTTGCATTTGGTGCTTCAAACAATTCTGAGGATTGATTTGTTTCTATATGAAACACACAATATATGTCCAAACTAGCAGAGGGAAAAAAATCCATATTTCATACCATTTTTGTTTTGGAAAAGACAAAAACCCGTTTCATTTATTTGTTGGCATTTGCTTCCCGGGATCCCTAGGAATAGTCGCTTTTCATTGCTTCCTTTCAACTCATCCATTTTTTTCTTTCGCATAGCATATGTCCTGTAGAGAGATGGATTTTGAACTCTTGCAATTCTCAAGATCATAATTTTGCTGTGACATGTTTTTTGAGCATGATTCTGAACTTCTTGGTATTCCTTTGCATTGTTCACAGGATCTAGCTCAACAAGATGAACGGTAAGTTCTCCACCCCATCGGTTTTTCGGCTGAGGGATCCAGTTGCTTGGCAAAATAACATCTAAACAGGAATTATTAAAACATTGTTTAGACTTTTCATATTGTAACCAAATTGTGGTATACACGCTCGAGGTTTGGAGTACGTTTCATTGATATAAAAACTTTCATTCATTGCAGAGGTAGTGAACCACAACAAGCTAAAATTAATATGTCAGTTGGTCCTCTTTGCCATGACGAGACTACGAGGAGCCCATATAATCTGTTTGTGTAGCCGATTGTTATTTTAGAGTGAATGTACCAGATTTACTGTTTGCCTCACCAACAGTGATATATTGCTGATTATGTATATATAGCCTGCGTCGCAGACAGTCTAAAGCTTTACTTAAACTGCATGTCAAAAAAACAAATGGATTTCTCACTTAAATCAAAGCTTTACTTAAACTGCATGTCAAAAAAACAAATAGATTTCTCCCTTAAATGAGAAATAAAAATCATTCATCTGTATTTTTAGCAGGTCCCTACACAAGGCCATGCGCGTGTAACGCAAGGAACTGCTGCTAGGGTTTAAACCCTTGGAGTTGACTTGGCAAATTCTCTAAAGTGTATTGGGCCAACTGAAATTATATTCTTACCATGAAATTTGCTGAAAACTGGCTTCGGTTTTGGGGCTACAACCAACTGAAAGGGACTTCCATTTATTGTATCGTCCCTTTATTTTGATTGATATCTTGAAGTCTCCAACAGCTCTTGGCGTGTAAGATACACAATAACGGCCATCTTTTAAGTCCTTTACAAGAGCTGGAATATTTTTGGTTCCCTGTTGTACGGATGTGATCTCCACCGTGACGTTGTCAATTTCACTGTAGGTTGTTTTGCCGCCTGAATCCTTCGTTGTGACCGTAAAGTAGCTTACCTCTCCTTGAATACTTTCAGTTAGTCCTTGTCCTGTTCCAACAGAAAAGTAAGGCTCTGTAAAGGTTACATGTAGCACACCAAGACGGAAATCTGGAGGCAGCGTATTTATCTAATACTTGAACTCTGGATATCTTAGTAGTGGCGTAGAATTCTGAAACCTTTGCGCAACAGTTCCATGAAGCTGATGTTTTACGTCTAACATTTTCCTTACGTCATTTGTTTGTAAAACTTCTCTACCATGTCTTGTGCTCTTGTACATTAGTCGGAGCTTTTCGACGAGCTTCGACAACTCATATTTTATGGCCTCGTCGTAAAGCGACTTTTCTTTTGCCAACTTTTCTGTCATCATTTCTTCCTGTTGACGAAGAACATTTTTAATACCTTCCGTCACGCTATGAACTTCTGCCGCCACTTTATCGATGCTATTATTGTATTTCGCTTTTCTTTCACTTAAAGACTCAAAATGGTTCCTCAGAAGCAAAGAATTCTCCTAAATATCTCTCAAGCTACTTTGGATAATCCCTCTCTGCTTCTTTGCTCCATCTTCAAGCGACATGATGTTGTGATCTATCGGATCTCGATGTTCCGTAATGGCGAATGCAGATCCAACAGCGACCCAACAGCGACTGCAGGAAATAAAAAGTTACTCTGGAAGGCACAAATTTGAATCCCATTTATAGCTTCCATACTATAATTTATTGAATTGCAGCTCATCTGCGAGGATCAAAGCTTTACTTAAACTGCATGTCAAAAAAACAAAAGTATGTTGACATGTGAGAACTTTTGGTTGATTGGTCTCAGTAAATTGTTCCTGGCAGAGGGAGCACTCCAATTCTTTCTTGATAGCATCATAAAGAATGTTCTCACAGAACAGGCCGTATTGCTCTTTAATTCAAATAATCAACTGCTCCCAGTTGGCTTGTTAGCTCAATTGGTAGACCGCTGCACTAGTATCGCAGAGGTCAGTGGTTCGAGTCCCGTACAGGCCTGATTTTTTCAGGTCTGATTTTCGCTATTGCTTAAATAGCGCTATCTACTGCGAGGATCGTGCATCATACGTATCTAATACCGCAGTTCAAAATATATGAACTTCATATATTTCATTGTATCTGATTTATCACTTTCACGGGTTTATTACGAATCGACTTAACGGCCTGCTCCCAGTTGGCTTGTTAGCTCAATTGGTAGAGCGCTGCACTAGTATCGCAGAGGTCAGTGGTTCGAGTCCCGTACAGGCCT